TATATTTTATACCATAATATCGAACACAGATAGATTGGGATATCACGGGAATCGTATATACTTTTGGTGTTAAACCGGAAATAGATTTTTGTCATATATATGTACATGCACAAGTTACGTTTAAAAATAATGCATCCACTGTTCTCCACTGTTAAAGAACTGCGTGTATGCGTGAGTCACATGAACAGATATTTTTTCTCTATACAAATTGACTAAAACGCCAAGTGGGGTCTTACAGCAATATTAAAAAGGAAAATTGAATAAAAATGAACTATTCTAAAATAGAACAATGGTAAGTAAAGCCTGTCATACATCACAAGTATAATCTTCTAATTTATTTTATTTAATTTCAGATGAAAGTTTGGAGATTATTATCTAAATATTTATTTACCGCCGCAAATTATGTCATATAGATCGGGTAACTTAATCATCGAGCCGGTGCATCATTATGCGTATACAAAAGTCAAGTCATGAAAGAGAAAAGCGTGCCACTCTTTAAATTTAATCTTCTTGTTTCAAATATCTAATAAAACAAAGCGCCAAAGGATTTCCATACTGTAAATATACTGTAGATAGTTCATATCCATTAAGATTTGACTTAGTTACTACCAACATTACATGTTCTCTTTGGTTCATTACCAAGGTAATGTGTTACGTCTACTATAATAACCAAGTATATGATGATACTTTTTTTTATCAATTAATAAATTTTAAATTAGACTGAAAGGTTTACCACGTAAAAATTGAATCTAGCTTGGAAATTGTGGTACCATTAAGTTTATATAATGTAATTTGCCTTCGCTATCGTTATTATATCACGTGTTCGAACTTTTCTTGGCCGTCCTGGTAGATTCGTAAATATTATTTTACTAAGATATAATTTGACTATCAAATTACAAGTAATGAATATATCTAGCACGAAAAACACCCATAAGTTTATTAACCATAAAAAAAAAAAAAAAAAAAAAAAAAAAACAAAAACAAAAAAATTAGGGAAAAAAACAAATTATAGTTATATGAAAATTCATAACATCTTTGCAGAAACTCTCATCTTATAATTACGTGACTATTGCATAGAAATTAGGGTTGTAAAATTACGGTAATTTTGTGTTTCAATATGATGATTTTACGTCCTTATAATTTTTCATTTAATGTCGTAATGATGAACCACAGTGCGAATCATGTATTCGACACAATAATACGGAGAGAAAATTATATGAAATCTAATTTACTGAAACTTTAAAATTACATGAAATGTAAAAATGTAATTTTCATAACACAACCCTAATAACAATTTTATTATGATATTTGAGTGCGTGAGAGTGAAAACCTGGAAACCGATTTAATGATTTACTATGATCGGTTTCCAGGTTTTCACTCTCACGCACTCATTTATAGCTACTTGCAATCCTTGGGCATAATAATATTGTTATGTTATTGCTATTATATAAACATAGGAGTGACAGTAAGGGAAAACCTGTAACTGTTATCACTATAGTGATTATCGTTATTATTATAACTGATAATATATAATCACTATAGTGATAACAGTTACAGGTTTTCTCTTACAGTCACTCATATGTGGATCCTTGCGCCTTTCGATACTATATGAATTTTATGAATAAAATTTAAATTTACCAGCTATCTAGTAATCCAATTTGAATAAATCTTTCTTTTTTTTTTTAGTAGCTCTATAAAATAAAAAAGGTTATTCAAATTGGATTACTAGATGGCTAATAAATTTAAATATTATTCTAAAATTCAAACATAGTTGCTATTCATGTAACAGATAACCAATTATTACGATGTTTCTATAACATGTAAATAAGTAGTGATTTAATTTTATGATGGCATTACAACTACGCAATGAGAATTTAAATTTGAACAGTTAAATACAGAATTAGAAAATATTACCAATCTTGCATTAACTTTAGAAGAATTATTTCTCTTTGGGCTATACTTATACTCCGGATACATTAGTTCATGATAGCTTTTATGAAGTTTTGATAAAATTTTAAAAAAAAGTTTGATTTCATCATCAGATCTACTCCACATAACACTGGATTCACGTGAACGTTGAGTAAAATTTTTAGAAGTGTGAGATGCGTCATAATTTCTTTTCCAGAGGAGGTAACTATTTAAATACCGAGGAGGATTTGGGTTTTTTGTAGGCCTTTTTGCAGGGGCGAAAAACTCATCAATTGTTAGAGAAAGGAGTAAAGGCGGATTTAATACTATATGCAATTCTTTCTCGGTAAGATGCAAGAGCAAGGGGCCGAAATTGCCAAAATTTATCGGATTAACACTAGGATTTGGTGTAGTTTGGTTAGTGATTGAAGTGAGAGTTTCCTCATTTTGTGATATCATTTTCTTTTCAAAGGATTAAATAAAATGAGGAAAAATGATAACAGTGTTTATATATATTTTATACCATAATATCGAACACAGATAGATTGGGATATCACGGGAATCGTATATACTTTTGGTGTTAAACCG